ACTTTCTTAATAATATAAGCTTTTGAAAGAGAAATTCTGAAATCTTTGCCTCTCATCATGGATTTTATCGGAAAGAAAAAAATTCTTGAATGGTATATCTGGATAAGCTATGAACTCTCTGAAAATACAGTCTTGCTTTGTCACAGACTCCTATAGTCATCTTCGTTTCCTTAAATCTTTTCATAGAATGAGGGAGTTTTCTTTAAGATTAGATGCCTACAGAGCAGAGATGGTATAATGTTACTTACATTTGAAGACTTTCTCAAAACATAAAGGAAATGCCAGTTTCATCTTCATTGCTAGATGTAAGAACTGTCATTAGGAGATTTTTTCTTTTGCTGATTAACAAGTTTGGAATGATTATTTTCATTTGTATTATTTTGTAGAAACAATTTGTTAAATATATAACTAAGTGTGACTTGAGTTTTACTTCTTTGAAAGTTTTACCATATACATTTTAAAATCCTGAAATAACTTTGTAGTAATTTGGGGGAGTTGAACAGAGAAACAGGCTGCTTGGTAAAATAATAAGCTGTCTAATTAATAGAAGCATTTAGGCGTATATGCTCACCCCACCATCCCTTCACCAAAGCATGTACAAATGAGGGTATTGTGGAGTGGAATTTTATGGTTTCTTGAAACTGGAGCAATCAGTGATTCTAATTTTATGTATAATAAATTTTGAAATAGAAAATGCTATAAATTGTAATGTTAATTTTGGCTTAATGCCAATTTTTTAAAAAAGAAACTCAGTATTTGTTTAGATTTAATTGAAATCTCTGTGAAAGATAGTGTTTAGAAGAGTCAATAAATTCATTTGTGTACTATATTTTATGTAATCATACAGAATATATATTACAATTTAATGTCTAACATACTAAAGAAGGAAACCAAGTTGTATCCCCATGGAAAAAAATTAGGTCATTTTAACTGTCAAATAGATATGAAGTATTGATTTTATTTTTTCCTTATTGATTTTATTTTTTCCTAGCACATTGACAAATTTCCTACCCATTGGGAAATTTGAATTGGATGTAATTATTTATATCTGAATAGTTGTAGTTATTAATGCTAACAAGTAATGTAAGGAAATAGACACTTTGAGGAATTTAGTGTTTCACTTAGACTTGCAAAAACAGTAATCAAAATAGCAAACATTTTTTGAGCACTTAGTGTGTCCTGCTGTGCTAAATGTTTTACAATTTGGTTTTTATTTAATCCTCACAACTCCATGAGGTAGGTACTAATATTAATCTCATTTTGCAGATAATGAAACTGAGACTTAAGGTGGTAAAATAACCAGCCCCGAACGTTGGGCATTATATTTTGGTTTTTCATTTTGTCAAATTAGTTAACTGATATTGATCATATCGTATACTTACATAGCTTGCCAGTTTCTTTCACATATACCTCATCTGATATTGATAAACATAGCAAGATTGCTTAAGACCAGATTGTTTACAGATACATGTTCTGTAGCTCTCCAGTTCTTGTTGATAATCATTTTTGTTTAGTTATTTTACAGCAGCTTCTTGTCTAAGACAGGTGTTCTCCCTCTGTCCAGTTTACCAACTCCCACTAAGAATCCATTCAGCTGCTAAAACTTTAAAACATTAATGTATTACTTTGAAAAATAGTTCAAATTTTATAACGAGTTTTATTTTGCTTCAAAACTCGTGATGTCAAAGTCTCTCCTCTCTCTAGTGCTGCTGGAGAAATGGCAAAATGTTTTCTCTAGATCTTTCTAGCTCAGTATTACCTCCCTGTTTGCTGTTGGTTATGTGTAAAAATCGTATATTTCTTCTGGACAGTACTTCAAACACAGTAGACCAAAGATGTGTGCTATCTTACATGGTTTTACTTATAAAATTCCTAGACAGTTAGGGATTAGAGCTACTGTAATATTCTCACTTTTGTAGTTTATTTTTTATTAAAACAATAATATTGTACTTTTTCTTTTACTTATGATTGGTTTTTTGCATTGCTGCATGTTACTTTAAACACCTGGCTTTCTTCATTGAACAGTTTTATTTCCTTTAATTCATGTGAAGACCTTACTATTAGTTATATTCATGTTATTTCATTAATGCATTTTTGTTTGTTTATACATTTACTCTATTTGATTAAGGATAAGAACTCCTGTGCGTTTTTAAAAACCTTTCCAAAACCAAATAGAGAAGTTAGTGATTTTTATATATTTCTTTTTGTCTGTTTTAGGATGGCTACCGTAGAGTAGTTAATATTGTGCCAAAGAAACCACCACTGCTAGACAGACCTGGTGAAGGAAGCTACAGTAGATATTACAGTCATGTTGATTACCGAGAATATGACGAGGGCCGCAGTTTTTCTCATGATCGAAGAAGTGGTCCACCTCACAGAGGAGTATGTAAATTTCCCCCATGTACTAATCGTTATTTTTTATAAGTTTAAAAAATCATGTAATTTTTGGAATTTATGGGACTGGCCATGAAGGCAGTTGAATAAACACTTCCTGCTTGATGCTCTGTTGACTTGCCTGCTGGAGCTGTCAAATGGGAACTGGTAGTCAAGAATCTTGGGGTGCTGGACAAAGTGGGTAAGCCCTCTGGATAGCTCTATCTAAATTACATTAATTCCAACTAGCCTGCTTTTCTATCCCCTAAATTGGCAAGGATTTGCAGAACCAGATAAAGGTAATCTTATCTGTTGCTTTTGTATTCAATAAGTGATAACCAGGTAGTTATCTTTTACTAGATGTGCCCACTTACAGTTACTTTATTTTTATCATGATGAAATGCTGTGGGTAAGGTTGGGTTAAGGTTGTTGAGACTCAGTCTCATTTTTGTTATTATTAAAGTCTACTTCCTAACTCAGAAAATCCTCAAAACATTACCTTTCCTATAATAAGCACTTTTTAAGTGTTAGCCATTATGGCTATTATTATTATGTTTTTTCTCTTGATCATCTTTAGTAATCTAGAAGTATATATTTAATGTTGCAATAATCTGTTATTGAACTTGATTAAACTATTCCTTGATGCACTTCCTTTGACCCAGCTTGCATGTTTATAACATTCCTTTGCTAAACCATTTTCCTACATTTTCTCCTTCCCTTCTATATAGTGTTGTAATTAACAGTACGTATTCAGACATTGCTTATGATAAATTTGACCTCACAGTAGCCATTGGAATTAGTTTCCTTACTTTACACCTGAGGAAATGGAGCTAAGGTGATTTACCCAAGATGAGTATGTATGGGAGTTTAGTCCTATTACTACCACATCATTGTGACCCTTGACAATTCTAAAGTGGCAGTGAGACTATTCAATATTTTCTTGTGTTTGTTTTTAAGTTTGGGGTGTTATAGCTTCCTTACTTCTCAATAGAATTGATTTTTATTTTGTTCAATTTTAAATGTCATGCTGTTCCTTTAGGAAGAAGGGTTTGGTATTGAAAAGTAAATACTATATTGTTATCTCTGTTTTAGAAATACTGGATTTTGCCATCAGAGCCATTCTTCCAGGTATTCTCAAGGAGAAACAGTTTGGCCTTTGCATGAACAGTTTTTATCCCTCTTAGGAAAACCCTGTGGCCATTTAGTGTAGACAGGGAATTTTGGATTCATTGGACCAATTTGAAGCCGTATTTTTTTCTAAAACCTTGCAGCATAATAGTGCCTCGATAATATTTTTTACTATTGTTACAAATTGTGTTTATTCACACTTGACACACTTTCTCTTTAAATTTTCTTCAAACAAACAAGCAGGCCCACTTGAGATCCTTAGGATTCTCATGACGCTAATTCTTACCTAGAATTCAGTTAGTATAAAGCAAACTGCTTACTTGATCCAATATTCTATTATAGCTATTGAGTTTTTTCTTTTGTTTTTTAATAGTTTAATGTTGGGAAGGAAAATGATGAATAAATTTTACTTCTGTAAGAAAAGAGTACGTGATGCTAAAGAGGAGGATGAAGATGGTATTTATTTTAGGTGAATCAGTGTTTCTGATTGTAGGTAATGCACATGTTACAGTTGTCCCTCGATATCAGGGGATTGGTTCCAGGACCCACCAGGATACCAAAACCTGAGGTTGCTCAAGTCCCTTATATAAAATGGCATAGTATTTGCATATAACCGATGCATATCTTCTGTATACTTTAAATCGTGTCTAGATTATTTATAATACCTAATACAACATAGTGCTATGTAAATAGTGGCTGGCATGCAGCAAATTTAAGTTTTGCTTTTTGGAACTTTCTAGAATTCCCCCTTCCCCAGTATTTTTGAGCCGATGCAGAACCTGTGGGTATGGACAGCTGATTGTACATTGTTCTTTGTATAATTTTAAAGTAATTGAGTATGGATTACCATGTGGTTCTTTTATATGTACCTTTTCCAAATTTGTTTTAGAGGACAAATTGTGCTTTCTTTGATTAATTTTAAACTTAGTGCCACATCTTGTTCTAATATAGCTTATCAGTAAGTATTGATTTCTTATTATATTGTTTCCAGTTGTGGTTTTTAATGGGAGGTAGGTTGAGAAAAGGAAACTTGAACAAGAAGAGTGGAAAAGTGACAAGTTCTTCATTGGGCTTGAATATGAAAATTGCTGAGCAAACTTGACAGACGAAGAATAAAATGAAAGGTTGAGAAGTGTGTGCTTGGCTAAATTTAAATTGAACCTTTGTTCTCGAACAGACTTTCTATGTTGTGAATGTTGGCATGTGCTTCTGGTAAGAAGGCTGTTTGGGCCTACCAAAGAAATACTTTAAGTATTTTACTAGAGATAAATAGTACCACAGGTTCTCAGACTACCAAATTAGTTGTTGAAATGGATGACTTGCGGTATCCTTTTTACTTTTTTATGCCTTTGAAACTTAGAGAAATTTAGAAAGGTGTCTTTGCCCTCATATTATTTTGGTCTTAGAGACTAGTTTCCAGTAGTTCTGTTAGATACATATATACCCTACCTGACCAAAGTAATGTAAATGAATATCTAAGTAACGTTTTTCTGTTATAGGATGAATCTGGCTATCGGTGGACAAGAGATGATCATTCTGCAAGCCGACAGCCTGAATACAGGTAAAAAGATAAAAATAACATAATTACTTTGATATTTGCCTCACTGAGATGTCTGCTATTGAAATCTAACCTCAAGGCACATCAATGAAATATTTAATAGGACTTAAAACTTTGAAAGCAACTAGCATTATATTCTTTTTGTGACTGTGTAATATATTAATGGCACTAATAGCTAGTGTTCTGTATCTCTTGGCATTTTGTAATTGACAGTAAAAATATATACTTAAAAATATTTAAACTCTTGTTATATTCTTCTCTAATTATTTAATTATTCTTAGTGAGTCATGTGGATTATAAGGTATGTATTTGCTTAATTAGAAAATAAGGCATTTTTTCCAGAAGTATCCTTCTTGAAAATATTTGAGTCATTATAAATTGTCTCCTATTAAAAAGCATCTCTCAGTTGCTTTATCTTGATCAATTAAGTTCTGTTGGGAAAATGCATTTTCGAAGGACTTCGATCATTATTAGCTTTGGTTACTTAATAGAGGCATTTGATAGAATAGTTAGAAAAAAAAGATGGACATATTTAACCAGGTTGATAGTTTTTTTTAATGATTTCGCTCTGGTAGTGTTGGAAGTTGTAAAAGGAGCCTTTTAAAGATCTCTTATAGACTGTCAGACAAGAACCCCAAACTCATGGAGAATGGCAAGGAGTAACTGCCACAGCTCCATAGGTGCCAGAAGTAGACAGCTGGATTCAGTGGATAAGAGCAGGGCAGTTAATTACTCATAGCACAGCAGACAGAAGGGGCATCAGCATGGCAGTATTGGTTTCCTGCCCCCAGGTCCCACAGGGTGATGTGATTGGCAGAGATGGTGGCTATGCATTGCATCTAAGGAACCCAGAGTTAAGTGCTAGGTACCTTTTGGCAATCAGGAAGCAAGCCAGTCCTTTCCCAGGGAGTAAGCAGTCACATGGTAATTATGCTGTGGTCACCTTGACCTGTTGAACTGTCTCTTGACCAGTTACTGAAACTCTTCAGTATCACTGGATGGTTAGGTCTTTCAGTTTGGTATGTATGGCAGGCATGTACAAGGACGTTCAGAACTCATGGCAGACTGCCTCTCTCAAAAGAAGCAACAGAGATAATAGATGCTGAAAAATACTTTGATAAAATTTAACACTCAGTAATTATAAAAACTGTCAGCCAGCTAGGAATAGAAGAGAATTTCCTTTATTTGACAGGCGTTTGCTATACTGAATGGTAAAGTTAGAAGCATTCTCCTTAAAACCAGAACAAAGCAATAATGCCTGTTTTCACTGCTTCTATTCATTATGGTAATGGTGGTCTCAACACCTTCAGTAAGACAAGAAAAATGAAGGTTAAGGGTTAGAATGAAAGAAACAAAACTATTTACAGATTGTATAATTATCTATGCAGAAAATCCAAAGGAGTCTATAAACTATAGAACTACTAGGATAATAGCAAAGTTCAGTATAATAAAATCAACTATCAGCAGCATAAATTAGACAACGAAATTTAAAAATACTATAGCAGGGACTTCCCTGGTGGCGCAGTGGTTTAGAATCTGCCTGCCAATGCAGGGGATACAGGTTTAAGCCCTGGTCCAGGAAGATCCCACATGCGATGGAGCAACTAAGCCCATGCGCCACAACTACTGAGCCTGTGCTCTAGAACCCGCAAGCCACAACTCCTGAGCCTGCATGCCACAACTACTGAAGCCCACACGCCTAGAGCCTGTGCTCTGCAGCAAGAGAAGCCACCGCAATGAGAAGTCCACGCACCTCAACGAAGAGTAGCCCCGGCTCGCTGCAACTACAGAAAGCTCTTGCGCAGCAACGAAGACCCAACACAGCCAAAATATATATATATATATATATATATATATATATATATATATAAATTAATTAATTACAAAGATACTATAGTATGAAAACTATAAGGAGTAATAAGAATAAATTTAACTGAAGTGTGTGAGACCTATTTGGATGAAATTACAGGTCATTTCTAAAGAACATTTTAAAGTCCTGAATAAAAGGAGCAGCATAGCATCCTTGGCTATGAAGAGACAGTATCACAAATATGTCATTTCTCTTCAGATTCAGATGTGAATTCAATGTGGTTCCAGTCTAAATTCCAGGATTTTTTTTTTTTTTTTTTGCATAGAAGTTGGCAAACTGATTCTAAAATTAATATGAAGAGTGAAGGGCCAAATAGCAAAAATAGTATTGAAAAACATGTGAAGACTGAATATGCCATATATCAAAACTTATTAAAGCTGTAGTAATGTAAACAGTGAAACAGAATAGGGAATCTGGAAGCAAACCTAGATATTGAAAAACATGTGAAGACTGAATATGCCATATATCAGAACTTATTAAAGCTGTAGTAATGTAAACAGTGAAATAGAATAGGGAATCTGGAAGCAAACCTAGATATGTCAAGGAATTTAGGATATTAGTAGTATTAAAAATCAAATGGGGAAAGAATGAACTTTTTAATAAATAGTACTGGGACAAACTGCTATCCGTTTGGGGGGAAAAAATGTGAAATTGGAAGCCTGGCATGTCAACATAAATAATCTGATATACTAGAGACCTGAATATGAAAAGCAAAATTAAAAAAAAAAACCACAGCTTTTGGTTAGATTAGCTAATGGTTTATATTTCTCCCTAAATAAACAGCTCTTTTGTTTTTTGAAACAGCTCTTGGATTATTTTAATTCTGTTGTTTTTCAGTGTTTAAAATAAGAGTTTCTGTTTTTATCTTTTTTCTTTTTGTCTTTTTTAGCATTTTTTTCCCTGTGCCTGTGTATAATTTTACATAAATGAAATAAAATCATATATGTGACTCCTCAATCTTAACAGCTATATTAACAGCTTGGTGTATATTCTACTTTTCTCCATATTCATAGGCATTTGGGGTATTTGATTTTTGTTAATGAGATCATGTTACACACACTTTTCTCTAAGTTGCTTTTCTCCTTCAGAGGCTTGTGAAAATCCCTCCAAGTTATTTGGTTTACCTTTAATTTGAATCTTTTTAGTGGCCAAATAATGTTCCATTTTGTGGCTATACCAAATAATTTAGTTGTTCACCTGTTGATGAATATTCATGCTATTTCCAATACAAAACAGTGCTGCAATAAATCTGAGTACATAATATCTTTAAGAAACAGTACTTTGGTTTCTATGGGATAGATTGCCAAAAGTGGAGTTTCTGGGTCAAAGGGCATATATATTTTAAATTTTAATAGATGTTTCCAGTTTGCTTTCTAAAAGCCTAAAACACTTAGCTTTCATTTAAAAAATCTAATATTTTAATTCAAGTTTAATTTGTTTTTCTTGCTTTTCTTTTTTTCTTTTTTTTTTGCAGTACGCGGGCCTCTCACTGTTGTGGCCTCTCCCGTTGCGGAGCACAGGCTCCGGACGCGCAGGCTCAGCGGCCAGGCTCATGGGCCCGGCCGCTGAGCTGCATGTGGGATCTTCCTGGACCGGGGCATGAACCCGTGTCCCCTGCATCGGCAGGCGGACTCTCAACCACTGAGACACCAGGGAAGCCCTGTTTTTCTTTCTCATTGGTGAAGCAGTTTTTATATTTTATTTTTTAAATTTTTATTGCAGTATAGTTGATTTACAGTGTTGTGTTAGTTTCAGGTGTACAGCAAAGTGAATCAATTATACATATATCCACTCTTTTTTTTTCAGGTTCTTTCCCCATATAGGCCATTACAGAGTATTGAATAGAGTTCCCTGTGCTATACAGCAGGTTGTTATTACTTATCTATTTTATATATAGTATGGTAAATGTCAATCCCAACCTCCCAATTTAACCCCCGCCAGTCCACTGGTAGCCATAAGTTTGTTTTCTACATCCGTGACTTTACTTCTGTTTTGTAAATAAGTTCATTTGTACCCTTTTTTTTAGACGCCACATATAAGATTTAGATTCCATAAATATCATGGTATTTGTCTTTCTGTGTCTGACTTACTTCGCTCAGTATGACAGTCTCTAGGTTCATCCATGTTGCTGCAGATGGCATTGTTTTGTTCTTTTTTATGGCTGAGTAATATTCCATTGTATGTATATGTACTATATCTTCTTTACCCATTCCTCTGTTGATGGACATTTAGGTTGCTTCCATGTCCTGGCTGTTGTAAATAGCGCTGCAGTGAACATTGGAGTGCATGTATCTTTTCGAGTTATGGTTTTCTCTGGGTATATGCCCAGGAGTGGGATTGCTGAGTCATATGGTAGTTCTATTTTTAGTTTTTTAAGGAACCTCCATACTGTTCTCCATAGTGGCTATACCAGTTTACATTCCTGCCAGCAGTGTAGGAAGATTCCCTTTTCTCCACATCCTCTCTGCATTTATTGTTTGTAGATGTTTTTGTTGATGGCCATTCTTACCCTTGTGAAGTGTTTTTCTTATTTATTAACATAAGTAAAGTTTTGAAATTTCCTTTAAGCATTGTTGTAACTGTATCCCACTGATTCAGAATATGTAGCAATTTTATACTGATTCTGACATAGTATATTCTAGTTATTCTGTGATCAGAGAATGTTGCCTGTATTCTTACTCTACTGTTTGAAATTCATTGATCATTAGTTGATCAGTTTTCTTATCTGTACCATGAGCATTAAAATAAGATATTTTCTTTTTGAATTTTTTCTGGATATATTCATACACCTCAGTGTTCATAGAAGCACTATTTATAATAGCCAGGACATGGAAGCAACCCAAGTGCCCATCAACAGACGAATGAATTAAGAAGACATGGTAATATATATATATATGTATATATATATATATATATATATATATATATACACAATAGAATATTACTGAACTATAAAAAAAGAATGAAATACTGCCATTTGCAGCAACATGGATGGACCTAGAGAATATTATGCTAGGTGAAATAAGTCAGAGAAAGACAAGTGCTGTATCACTTAAATGTGGTAACTAACAAATAATACAAAGGAATGTATATACAAAACAGAAACAGATTCACTGTTATAGAAAACAAACTG